CGGTTTTTGGTAGGAAATTAAAGTGATCACTGATTTTCTTTAATTTTTGACCTAGCGCCTCTAGTTTAGCCAGAAAATGGACTTTATGTTTTCACTCGTAATCGGTTTTTGGTAAATTAAACTGATCACAGATTTTTCTTTCTTTTGGCCTAGCGCCTCTAGTTTAGCCAGAAAATGGACTTTTATGTTTTCTCTCATAAATCGGTTTTTGGTGAGAAATTAAAGTGATCACAGATTTTCTTTCCTTTTGCCCTAGCGGCTCTAGTTTCGCCAGAAAATGGACTTTTATGTTTTCACTAAAAAAATCGGTTTTTGGTGAGAAATCAAAGTGGTCACATATTTCTTTTTGCCCTAGCGCCTCTAGATTAGCCAGAATGGACTTTTATGTTTTCACTCAAAAAATCGGTTTTTGGTGAGAAATTAAAGTGATCTCAGATTTTCTTTCTTTTTGCCCTAGCGCCTCTAGTTTAGCCAGAAATGGACTTTTATGTTTTCTCTCATAAATCGGTTTTTGGTAAATTAAACTGATCACAGATTTTCTTTCTTTTTGGCCTAGCGCCTCTAGTTTAGCCAGAAAATGGACTTTTATGTTTTCTCTCATAAATCGGTTTTTGGTGAAAAATTAAAGTGATCACAGATTTTCTTTCCTTTTGCCCTAGCGGCTCTAGTTTCGCCAGAAAATGGACTTTTATGTTTTCACTCAAAAAATCGGTTTTTGGTGAGAAATTAAAGTGATCATAGATTTTCTTTTGGCCCTAGCGCCTCTAGTTTAGCCAGAAAATGGACTTTTATATTTTCACTAAAAAATCGGCCAGAAAATGGACTTTAATGTTTTCACTCAAAAAATCGGTTTTGGTGAGAAATCAAAGTGATCACAGATTTTATTTCTTTTTGACTTAGCACCTCTAGTTTAGCCAGAAAACGAACTTTTATGTTTTCACTCATAAATCAGTTTTTGGTGAGAAATTAAAGTGATCACAGATTTTCTTTCTTTTGGCCCTAGCGCCTCTAGTTTAGCCCAGAAAATGGACTTTTATATTTTCACTCAAAAATCGGTCTTTGGTAGGAAATTAAAGTGATTTTCTTGCTTTTGGCCCTAGAGCCTCTAGTTTAGCCAGAAAATGGACTTTTATATTTTCACTCAAAAATCGGTTTCTGGTGGGAAATTAAAGTGATCACAGATTTTCTTTCTTTTGGCCCTAGCGCCACTAGTTTAGCCAGAAAATGGACTTTTATGTTTTCACTCATAAATCGGTTTTTGGTAGGAAATTAAAGTGATCACAGATTTCCTTTATTTTTGCCGTAGCGCCTCTAGTTTAGCCAGAAAATGGACTTTATATTTTCACTCAAAAATAGTCTTTGGTAGGAAATTAAAGTGATCACAGATTTTCTTGCTTTTGGCCCTAGAGCCTCTAGTTTAGCCAGAAAATGGACTTTTATATTTTCACTCAAAAATCGGTTTTTGGTGGGAAATTAAAGTGATCACAGATTTTCTTTCTTTTGGCCCTAGAGCCTCTAGTTTAGTCAGAAACTGGACTTTTATATTTTCACTCAAAAATCGGTTTTTGGTGAGAAATCAAAGTGATCACAGATTTTTTCTTTTTGCCCTAGCGCCTGTAGTTTAGCCAGAAAATGTAGTTTTATGTTTCACTAAAAAAAATCGGTTTTTGGTGGGAAATTAAAGTGATCACAGATTTTATTTCTTTTGACTTAGCACCTCTAGTTAGCCAGAAAACGAACTTTTATGTTTTCACTCATAAATCAGTTTTTGGTGAGAAATTAAAGTGATCACAGGTTTTCTTTCTTTTTTGACCTAGCGCCTCTAGTTTAGCCAGAAAATGGACTTTTATATTTTCACTCAAAAAGTCGGTTTTTGGTGAGAAATTAAAGTGATCACAGATTTTCTTTCTTTTTGACCTAGCGCCTCTAGTTTAGGCAGAAAATGGACTTTTATGTTTCCACTCAAAAAGTCGGTTTTTGGTGAGAAATTAAAGTGATCACAGATTTTCTTTCTTTTTGACCTAGCGCCTCTAGTTTAGCCAGAAAATGGACTTTTATATTTTCACTCAAAAATAGTTCTTTGGTAGGAAATTAAAGTGATCACAGATTTTCTTTCTTTGGCCCTAGAGCCTCTAGTTTAGTCAGAAACTGGACTTTTATATTTTCACTCAAAAATCGGTTTTTGGTGGGAAATTAAAGTGATCACAGATTTTCTTTCTTTTGGGCCCTAGCGCCTCTAGTTTAGCCAGAAAATGGACTTTTATGTTTTCACTCATAAATCGGTTTTGGAAGGAAATTAAAGTGATCACAGACTTTCTTTCTTTTTGACCTAGCGCCCTCTAGTTTAGCCAGAAAATGGACTTTTATGTTTTCACTCAAAAGCGCCTCTAGTTTAGTAGCCAGAAAATGGACTTTTACATATGTTTTCACTCATGAATCGGTTTTTGGTTGGATATTAAGTGATCACAGATTTTCTTTCTTTTTGCCGTAGCGCCTCTAGTTTAGCCAGAAAATGGACTTTTATATTTTCACTCAAAATCGGTTTTTGGTAGGAAATTAAAGTGATCACAGATTTTCTTTCTTTTGGCCCTAGCGCCTCTAGTTTAGCCAGAAAATGGACTTTTATGTTTTCACTCATGAATCGGTTTGGTGGGAAATTAAAGTGATCACAGATTTTCTTTCTTTTGGACCTAGCGCCTCTAGTTTAGCCAGAAAATGGACTTTTATGTTTTCATTCATGAATCGGTTTTTGGTGGGAAATTAAAGTGATCACAGATTTTCTTTCTTTTTGCCCTAGCGCCTCTAGTTTAGCCAGAAAATGGACTTTTATGTTTTCACTAAAAAAAATTGGTTTTTGGTGGGAAATTAAAGTGATCACAGATTTCCTTTATTTTTTGCCGTAGCGCCTCTAGTTTAGCCAGAAAATGGAACCAAAAAATCGGTTTTTGGTGGGAAATTAAAGTGATCACAGATTTTCTTTCTTTTTGCCCTAGCGCCTGTAGTTTAGCCAGAAAATGGACTTTTATGTTTTCACTCAAATATTCGGTTTTTGGTAGGAAATTAAAGTGATCACAGATTTTCTTTCTTTTTGCCCTAGCACCTCTAGCTTAGCCAGAAAATGGACTTTTATGTTTTCACTAAAAAAATAGGTTGTTGGTGAGTAATTAAAGTGATCACAGATTTTCTTTCTTTTGGCCCTAGCGCCTATAGTTTAGCCAGAAAATGGACTTTTGTGTTTTCACTCAAAAAGTCGGTTTTTGGTGAGAAATTAAAGTGATCACAGATTTCCTTAATTTTTTCCGTAGCGCCTCTAGTTTAACCAGAAAATGGACTTTTATGTTTTCACTCCAAAAATCGGTTTTTAGTGGGAAATTAAAGTGATCACAGATTTTCTTTCTTTTTGACCTAGCGCCTCTAGTTTAGCCAGAAAATGGACTTTTATGTTTTCACTCAAAAAGTCGGTTTTTGGTGAGAAATTAAAGTGACCACAGATTTTCTTTCTTTTGTCCTAGAGCCTCTAGTTTAGCCAGAAAATGGACTTTTTGTTTTCACTCAAAAAAATCGGTTTTTGGTGAGAAATTAAAGTGATCACAGATTTTCTTTCTTTTTGCCCTAGCCCCTCTAGTTTAGCTAGAAAATGGAATTTTATATTTTCACTCAAAAATCGGTTTTTGGTAGGAAATTAAAGTGATCACAGATTTTCTTTCTTTTGGCCCTAGCGCCTGTAGTTTAGCCAGAAAATGGACTTTTAAGTTTTCACTCAAAAAATCGATTTTTGGTGGGAAATTAAAGTGATCACAGATTTTCTTTCTTTTTGCCCTAGCGCCTCTAGATTAGCCAGAAAATGGACTTTTATATTTTCACTCAAAAATCGGTTTTTGGTGGGAAATTAAAGGAAATTATTATGATTATTAAAAGGATTTCCAAATTTCTAAAGAAAAGGTTTTCGAAATTGCAAGTTACCTTACACAATCAAATATTACCCCCTTTTTAACATAATTTTTAACCACAACTCTGCTAATAATGCTGATTTATAAAATTTTATTTCCTACAAAATGTTCATGTAAATGTATAAGAATACAAAAAATATTTATGATAATCATGTTAAAAAAATAAAAGAAAAATGGTTTAACTTAATTACAATTTTTACAGAGTTTTTTCTTTAAACACAATTATTATATAAAAATGAGTAAAAAATATTGATGTTATCAACTAAAACGATAGCTAAACACTCTACATTAAGAAATTTCAAATCAATATTAAACAGTTTGTTTTGAAATGTTCTAAACGTTTGTAAAGGGATGAAATTTGATGCATAAAATATTTCTGGAAACATTTCGGTAATATCGGTTAATATTAAATAACGTCAGATTAGTTTCAAAACTTTCGATTCTAAAAATATCTGTAACACACTATTAAAATAACTAAGGGTGTTCCTATTCTATCAGCCATACTTAAACACATACAAATCGAAAAGAAACAAAAAAACACGAAGCATATTTCAAGGGATAATAAGGATAGATATCAAGAGGTAGAATAAAAAAAATTACAGAAATTTCTATCTGACAGAAGTGGAGAAAAAAGCGAGAAATACATTTTGTTGCTGTTGTTATCATTACATTAACCATGGCCAGAGCATTGTTATCGTAGTTGTCATCATCAGAGACGTCAACATTAATTATAAAAGAGATTCTTTACACTTTTTTTTCTCGTCGTTTTGTCATGAGTTTAATGTTTTTTTTTTCTTTTTTATGCTGTAGTTGTTATTGCAAAAAAAAAAAAAACATGAATACATAAACTATGATTTATATAATTAAAAAGGAAATGATAAAATGAAGAAGGAAGAGTGAAAAAAAATGAAAATATTTTAAAGGCATTTTGTATAGCTGGAAAAAAAATAACAGTTACATTTAAACAACTTAATTAAAATGTTAAATATTGTTAAAGAACTTCATATTTAGTTTTTTTATATAATTATTTTTTTTTTTTTATTTTTTCAGCCACCACTTGCCGTTATGCCAAAAGTGCTTGGTCGGAATGTGATCCCAAAACCAATATGCGTTCCCGCATTTTAACTTTAAAAAAGGGTGAACCGAATTGTTTGGAAACCAGAACTATGCAAAAGAAATGTAAAAAAAGTAAGTATTTAAAAATGTAATTTGAATATATTTTTTAAAGAGTTTAATAAAGTTGTGTTAAACTAGTTGTTACTTTAAAGTGGAAAATTTGTTTAAGAGTGGAGAATAGTGAGGGCCAGAAAAGTGTGACATTTTTATAAACTTTAAGGGGAATTTATTTTTAAATAATTTTAAGATTTAGCTCCTTCTGCCAATAAACAATTTCTATTCCTGCTGTCTTGTCACCAAGAATTTTCCAAAAAGTTTGTACTTCTGCATGCGATCGATAACTGAAGCGAAACGATCGTAGTTGAACGAACCTTGTGGAACTTAATCAGAGAAATACAAAACCCACTTGATGAAGAGTTTTCCACTGGAATAGAGATCAGTTTAGGGTCTCTTGCATTTAATCTTCTTGGCCGATAAGATAAAAATCGGTGATAGCGTGAATTTCCGACTTTAAGCTAGTTTTATGGTAGGGGAAACATGATGTAGTGATGATCTTGAAGTTGAGTTCCTTAAGTTCTCTTCTCTATCGATTATCTGTAAGTGCTGTTCTTCTCACATGATGCAGATCTTACCACTAAAAGAGAAATCAATTTGGATTCTCTTGCAATACGATGTGCCTTCTTGAGAGTAATGGGAAATAGAATGAATCAGAGTAGAGTGATGAGTTGAATACTGATTAATGTACAGTAGAGTGGGTCGGTCTCTATGGACAAAAAAAAGTTGTGTCAGTCACCCCCTAGGATTAAAGATATGTAAAAAACATTTCCAAAAATATAAAAATTATTTTTTGCCACGCCTAGAAATACCGCCCTTTTTGTTTTTTATATATTACGTCGTCATTTTAAGTCCGATCGTCACATATGATATATCAATATTTATGGCTTGGCTGTAGCTACATTTCACCCTTAGACGATTTTTAAATTAGACGTAACAATCTATGCCCGACTTCTGATATCTCGGATCCTTCCCCAAAATCTGAAATTGTGGCTATACAATAATAAAGAGCTTTTAGTTATATGAAATATAGGCTTTTGAAATGCTCACTTTTATGCATAAATAGCTATTTTATAGATATTTAAAAATGTTCATATATTCATTATCAACCTTTCTCACAACAAATAATTAATTTGCCAGGAAAAACCGTCGAAAACATTTTTTTTGAAAATGAATTATAAAAATGTTATTTTTTCAGTTACAAACCCTTCCAGATCCTACTTCCTATTAAAAAAGAGGAAAGTGTATTATAACCTACAGCACTATAGTGGTTTAACTTTGTCCATCCGACTTGTAATCAAACTACAAGTCAAAATTTTCCAGATAATGCGATGCACATAGGCTGATATATTTAATTTTACCCAAGGACGAAGTTGTTTGAAAATGGATTAAATCGGTTCATTATTCCCCTAGCCCTCATACAACCGTACTCCCCGAATACTGCTTTGGAGCTCTTAATAATGGCTTCAAGGTCGTTAATTCCCTCTTAAACACTACAATTAGGATGTAATTCTGCATATCTATCTCTTATAAGAACATAAAACATTCCACCAAATTTTTATAGGATCGGTCCATAATTGATCCTAGCTCCCATATATAGTCTCTTTCAAAAAATCAGTTTTTCATCGATAAGTTGCTCAAATAGTATATCGTCACCTAAAACGCTAGGGCCGTTTGCGTTTACAAGAGAAGCAAAAAACTATTGAAATTGAAAAGTTTGGTTAGTTAGGGCCGTTTGCGTTTCAGGTGACGATATGGAAATTAAGACAAAATTCAATATAAATGCTATATTAAACAAGTAAGAAATTATAGTGGGGAGAGGCCGACTATATAATACCCTACACCTGTTACAAAAATAAAATGTGATTTAGTTTTCATAATAAAGCATATAAGTTGAATTGTACCTTGCCTCCGATATACTTAAGTCATTTATTGTTGAATAAAATTGTGGACAATTAAGTCAAATTTTGAAGGGGGCTTTGTATAGGGGTTATGGTCAAATGAGACCCTATAACTATAAAATTCATGTTGGTCATCAAGGCTAGTATAGAACTTGGTTTTGTAGGTTTTTGTCGAGATACGAGTATATTAGACATAATTATGAACTTAAGAGCCCTATTCGGCGAGTTCAGTTGTATGGGGGCTAGGTGAAATAATGGACCGATGTTAACCATTTGTAATAGATTTCGTTTTCGATATCATAGAAGATCGTGTGCCAAATTTCATTGAATTATGTTCAAAATTGCGACCTGTAGTTTGATTACAAGGTTTACAAGCCCTATTCGGAGGTTCAGTTGTATGGGGGCTAGGTGAAATAATGGACCGATCCCCACTAAAGTGGCGTAGGGTATAAAAATAAATCATATTTTAGTTATGCTCATATCTGGTATCATATGGCCGGCCATTCCCGATTATTCGTTTTTTATTATTTAAAGAACTTCTTTAAAAATATGTAACTATTTAAAAGAATCATAAAATAAATTTATCACATTTTATAAAAATTAGTATAAACATTTTTAAAAATTGTTAAAAAAAGAAACATGCAAGTAGTTGTATGGAAAAAAACATGAAAAACATTTTTGTAAAACTTAGCATAACACTTTAATTTTTCATCGATTTTTATAAAATAAAATGTTTAATTTTTATGTACCTACGTGATTTTGTTATTAAAGGCTAAATAAAATGATATTTCTTTTGTTTAGATAGGGGTAGGATGCAATTTTTGTATTGTAAATTAATTTAAAAAAAATTGTTTTCGACCATATCCCTAGCAAATTAATTGTTTGTAGTTTGAACTACACAGGTATTTTTAAATACCTGTAAAATAGCTCTTTATGCATAAAAGTGAGCATTTTAAAAGCATATATTCTATGTAATTCAATGTACTTTATTCCAGTATAGCCACAATTTTCGATTTTGGGGAAGGATCCGAGATATCAGAAGTCGCGCAAAGAATATGACGTCGAAATAAAAAATTGCATAAGAGTGAAATATAGCTAAAGTCAAACCATAAATATTGATATATGATATGTTATGATCGGACTTAAAATGGCGGCGTAATATATAGAAAACAAAAAGGGCGGTATGTCTAGGCGTGGCAAAAAAATATTTTTTATATTTTCGGAAATGTTATTAACATATCTTTAATCGTAGGGGGTGACTGACTCAACTTTTTTTTCGACCCACTCTAATGTACAGTTTTATACCCAGAAATTTCTATTCTTTGTCAGAGTATGTTTCATGGTTTACAAAACATTGAGCAAAATTCTGGTACATGGACCTGCAATATCCATGTATAAAAATTTTCACCCAAGTATTCTCTACATGTCACAAAAGATGGGAGAGTATCTAGCTGAGTTTATCCTTACAAAGCAGACGTTTACGTAAAGGACTCCGCAAGACCTCGTTTTGGAGTTATGGTTCTTCTACTTAGCGCCCAACACTGATGTGCCTTCTTGAGAGGAATAGGAAATAGAATGAATCAGAGTGAAGTGATGAGTTGAATGCTGATGGATGTACGGTGTTTTAGCGATAAAGTTCTCTTCTTTGGCAAAGTATGTTTCATGGTTTACAAAACATTGAGCAAAGTTCTGGTACATGGACTTGCAATATCCAAGTACAAAAATTTTTACCCAAGTATTCTCTGCGTGTCACGAAAGGTAGGAGAGTCTACAGCTCATCTTATAGTTATAAAAAATAATTGTAAGTTTATCCTGACAAAGTAGGCGTTCACGTAAAGGACTCTGCAAGACCCTATTTTTGACCTATGGTTTTCCTACATAGCGCCCCAAACCGATATCCCTTCTTGAGTTTCTGAAATATCTTGAGAATCTAGTTGGCTTAGTATCACCAAATTATTACATAAACCACATTCATTCGCTATCACCTGATGCATTAACCGCAATACAGATTTATAGGGAAAATTCCAATATAACTGACAACACAAATTTTAATAAACTCCCTTATGTTTTGTTCACCCCGTATTTAAAGAGAATATTTCAATTAAATTCTAGCTCATATTATATGTATAAATTTGTTATTCCCCAATTTTTTCTACATTTCTATCAACTCTAGTTATCCATCATTGTCAATGATATTTATAAATATAAGATTTGTAAATATATATATTTTTCTTTTTCATACAAAATTTTTTCAATTCGCCCTTAATATAAAGGGATTTAATTACTTCTCTAGGGTATATTGTAAATACACTCGGTACATACTGTATAAAAAACGAAAATTGTATTTAAACCGAGAGAAAAAAAATATACAACATTAAATTTGTTAGTTTATCCCATAAATAACGAAAAAATGAATGAAATACATTAAGAACTCGTTTAACAAATTCAACAAGTTGAAATAACTGTTTTTAAAAACCCAGAAATCTAAGCAAATCTCAAACATTTCGGTGGTATTTAGACTAAAATGTATAGATTCGAACTTATCATCATTACCGTTTAGTTCTTGCTTTCATAGTAATGACCTTTGACATTTGTAATGTTTTTTTTTTTTCACCCGTATCCTAAGTCCCAAGTGTATATCATTCTAAAACAACTTATACAAAAGCAATACATATATTTTTTGTCATTGAATATTCTTTTCATTACTCCTACAAGTAACCTGGTAATGTTGACAAACATGATAAATCTTTAAATTTATGATGTTTCTATAAAGGTAAGAATCTAATTTAAAACAACTGACTAAAAAACTAAATAAAATATGGCCTAAAGATACCAATTTTTTTGGTAAAGAATCAAATTTTTATTGCAGACACAAATTTATTTATGATCAAAAGTCTTTGATTTGTATAGAAGAAATAAAACAAAAGCTCAATGAAAATGTAGAGAATAAGTGAATGTGAGGAAAGGATAATTTAGTTAAGGATAGAATAAATAGTTAGAAAAAATAATGTGGTGGGTAGAGACTGAAGCAAATAAATCTAAAACATTCAATAGTTTATTAGGTTATAGACGTCTCTTTGTATTATCCGAAACAATCCCAGGGTTAGTTTTTCCACC